CTGCTGTAGCTGAACCCAGGACACTCACAAACTCACAAGACTGGAGGGGATTCACCTGACAGCAGCACATCTGTGGAAAGCACTTCCTACCTCTTTACAGCAGTTATTTCATTAATTTATTCACAGAAACCAAGTGGACATGTGGACTTGCAACCAGTTCTATCTCCTCCACTTGTTTATGAGAAGTATTAACATCTAACAGAGCTAACAACTCCAAGCAGCTTTGCATTTGTGTTGCCGTAATGGATACAATTATGTATTTATATGTCAGTTATCAGCACCATTTATAAAAAAGAAGGGCTAGTATAAGGAATACTACTGAAGAACACTGAGGTGAAAAATGTGGATATGATGAATAATTTCACGGGAAACCTGCAAACTCCAGGCAAAATTAAAACAGAAAGCCATTAAGACAAATCTTGAGTTTCATGGCAGTCAGTCTAGAAAACAGTTCTTAAATGGTAGGTTCCCAAGATTGTTAGACATAGTCTCTTGATGTTGTAAGCTGGAATTACTTCTTTTCATAGAGGACTCAGTTGGGCATTTTCAAGAGCATTACTTGAAGTAAGTAGGACTTAACTATTTAATATCCAAAGAACAATTAAAGTAGTCTAGCATCACAGAATAGGTTCTGGGCAACTAATGAAACCCGTACTCAGACATGAGTTATTTAAACGTATTAAGCCTTCAACAGCAACAGAAGTTTCCTGTACTTGGGTGACTTTGGGGATATCACCATTGCTAGAGCTTTGCAGATATAGCTGAACTGCAGCTGTTGTTCCTGTAGGACTGATCACATGGAATTGATGAAGTCCTATGTTGGTTGCATCTGCTTAGCACTGACATTCCTAGCCACTAGCTTCTTGTCTTGTTTACTATCCAGATTAGGTACTTGGGTATACTTAAGAGACAAACGTCACCTTGAACTCTCAAAGTCAGTCTAAGCTTAAGTACCATGCATGTAGGCCAGAGTTGTTACTTAAGACCAGTAGAACAAAGAGTTATCCTAATTCAGAAGAATTTTAAGTGTTTAATGCTGAAGGAAAAATACAGATTAGATGAAGACAGAAAATCTCAAGGTTTTAGGTATTCATTTAGGCAAGCATTTTTAGCCTCAATAACAGCATCATTTTCATTTGGCTTCCTTTGACATCCTGCCTCATTTTAAAATAGCGGTATGTTAACAGTTGAGATGCATCCCCTACAAGGGCAAAGTAAATTTAAAGTAATTTAGGACAACCACAGATTATTTCAGAATTAAACTATCTGGCATGAAAAAGCATGAAGCGTGAAGAGTAGAATTGCTGGATCATCACTACAAACAATTTAAGCGAACTTTTATTGAAGCATTAAGTTGTGGTACAGATATTTTTAAATGATCAAAGTCTAACACCACAGAAATTATAAACACCATACTCCCCCCATCCTGATCACACTAGATAGTTCAATAATCCATTCAACAGCTTTCATTTTTATAGCTGAGGCTTATGCTTCTATCTGTAAAACGTGTACTTCAGTATTACTTGAAAAGGGATCTTCAGTCTACTTAGAGGACCTCAAGTCAACAAATGTCAGGTCAGTTGGGACAATGCTTAAAAAAAACCAACCAAACAAAAAACCACAAACCACCAAACAAAAAACCCCCCACTGAAATATTGGTCCTCAGTATTAACACCAAAAAGCATTAGTCATGTAACCCATAACATTGGTAAAGAACGTCAACAATATATTTAAACAACAACAAAAAAAAAAAAACCAAAAAACAAAACAAAACAAGAAAAAGCATGTTCCAACCACTTGATTTCTAACCAAGAGGACTTTAGTTTACAAGCACTAAAAAAGTGCTTCATTTATAAATATGGAAGGAACAAAAAAAACCATTGTGTCAAACCAGAAAGAACCAAAACATTACTAGGACAAGAGGGGGGAAAAATAATTTCAATTTCATAGTTAACATGCTGGTCTCACAGCTGTTAAAATCCCAGTATTTGCAAACATAGCTGAAAGTGTGCCAGCTCTTTCAAGCCTGCATTTTAGTCAATACCCATTAAAGTGACTTTGAATTACACTTATTCATGCTCTATGAATAGCGTTCTACTTCACTTTTGTCCAGGTGTCCCAGACAGTTCTTGTTCTATGCCTTCACTTTAATGCCCTCAAGTCACCATAAGAGGAACCACCTTAGTAGGTAGGAGGAAAAAAAAAAACAACAGATGAAGTCACAACACTCAAATACAACATAAGTCACATGCACAACAATGTCACAGGACTGTCACAAGATAGAGGCATTAGCTTTGCTTTGAACAACAATATGAAGTGACACTGGACCAGTTTAGAAACACTCTTTACAGTCAGAAGTGGTACGTCACAGGTTTTACTGAGAGTAATCCAAATCAATGAACGCACCCAGACTGGCAAATCCCACTCCTTCATTAGATCTACCTGCCAGCACCCAAAAGCACTGGCCTCTTAGTCTGACATGACTGGTGACTAGGAAAGAAAATGTCTGGTGCCAAAATGAGCTTGCACTTTGCAGAGCTGTCACACAACTACACCAAAGCATTTACATCCTGACTCAGCATTTCCCCTATCAAGCGTTGGACCTTCTTCAAACCCTGCCATTGTGTAGCAGTATGACACTCAGGGATGTGGAGGTAAGAGATAAAAGAGGCATTAAGGTAAGGTGAATTTAACCAGCATTAGTACTGAGACCCAAGTTTCTAAAGGTGAAAGACCAATGCATTAGCCCAGTACTGCAGTACAGCTGAGCAAATTCCTAGTAAGCTTTATTAGAGCATGAAAAGTCAGTCTGATTTAAAAACAAATCAGCCACCACTTGTAGTAGCAAAACAATTTGAAACTGTTCTAAGAACTTTTTCCAAACATGGACATGTTAGTTAGGAATCAGTTTCATTAGAAATCATAAAAGTTTGTCAAAAACTGTTTTAGACTGAAATCAGAACATAAATGAAAAAGAGTGACAATTTAACAGAGAACTGTCCCCAGTGAGCAGGTGGAGGCTAAAGCCTAATGAGGACGAAAGCCTTGTCTGTGGGGAATTTTTGGTGATACCTGGAGAAAAACTATGCTGTGTGCAATTCTACCTGAATCATTTTTACAAGTGTTGTGAAGTTTCATACAGTAAGATTTTTCTACATGCACTTCAATTTCACAGCAAGAGTGGCATAGAGTACCTAAACACAGAAGAGAGCATTCATGCAAGATATCTAACTCCTTGATATAATAATGCATACAATTCAAAATGGTTATACTATGATTACACCTAGGGCTTTCCACAACTACAAGGTGGTGGGAGTGGAAAGCATGGCCCCCTGAATCATTAACTAGAAAGCAACCACCACCTTCTATATGGGATTTCTTTTTGCGTTTTTTCTTCATTCTTAATCAACTATGCTGTTGCTGGCGATTTTTTGTGAAACTGGTAAAAACAAAATTGTAATCACTGAATTGGGCAATCTGGTGATCGAGACGTTTAAACCCTTCAATCTTCTGGGCAGAAGAGAACACTGTACGACATTTAGAGCTCTAGAAAACAGAAGAGTGAAAAAGTTACTTTTGTAAACTTAGCATTTAGAGATAGCAAAACATGTATTTTACATGTGGTTCTTGTGATACTCCAGGGAGATCTTAGAGCAGCCTTCCAGTGCCTAAAGAAAAGCTGGCGAAGGACTGCTGATGGCAGGGGGTTGGAACTAGATGATCTTTAAAGTCACTTCCAATCGTAACCAACCCAGGATTCTATGACTACCTGGCAACATCACCGTAATACAACTGACAGCTGAACACAAATCCAGAAAAATACCAAAGCAAGAAATTATGCCCATAGAGAACTGCACAGGAAGTCATTAGAGTACTGACACTGGGCTGCCCTATATTAGTATTTTCTTAAGTTTTCTGGAGATCAGATTTAGTACATACCAAAGCAATACTGAAGAATATTTTTACTTTCCAAAGAAACTACCATCCAAACAGAGATAAACTGTAAACTACTAATGCTCCAGTAAAAAATAAAATAAAAAAAAATTTAAATCTCTATCCTTGCTTTGTGTCTGTGTGCATTCCAGGGTCTGACAACCAAATACAAGAAAACTCACCTGATTAACAAAGAGAGTTGTCACAAATTTTCCTGGCTTGAAAACCTCTACAACTTTTCTAATCAGATCATCGTAAGAGGTCTGACTTATATTTGTTTCAAAACTAACATAAGAAAACTCTGGTTCTGGAGTGATGTGAATAGTCCAGTAAGTTCCCTGAAGAGAACAAAAAAAAAAAAAAAAAAAAACAAAACCATTACCAAATAGTAACTACTTATTTTAACATTAATTATTGCTAAGTGTGAAACTTACATCCGATTTCATCCCATTCATTGAATACCCACAAGGATTGAACATTGTAGCATCAATAACAGAACCTGGTATCAGGTCACGAATTCCACTCATCTGAAATAGAAATTAAAATTACACCACTTAGTTTGTCATACACCCTTATACTTGTTTAGATTTAAATCAAAAGGCAGAATGGACAGTTTAGGTAACAGGACACCAGAATTCTCCCAAGAACGAGTCGGTTTGATAATGTAGATGAACTTGTTTTGCACTCTCTCACTTACTAAGTGACTGAGTGACAAGTTGCATGCAAGCTATCAGATACACTGCCTCCTACTGAACGAAGCTGCATACCTCAAAGACTAGGGAACAGCTCAGGATTCTAAAATAGCATTGTTTAGTTGCTTCTTCAACTAAAATGGAAAACTGAGCTCCTGTTCAACCAGTATCCACAAAGTGAAGGGTGTTACCATCTACTCCAGAGTAACAATACATTTCTTTAGAATGAAGTACAATCCCAAGCACTTTGATTTCCCACATGATAGTTGAGCTGCAGCCAGATCTCCATAGCAAATACAGTATGAGAAACAAAGCCTAAGATGGAAACTAGATCAAGTCAATGTTCATGTCAGAGAAACTTGTTTATGTCGCAGGACTTTCCCATTGCAAAAATGAAGCAAAACCATCACATTACACTTAGACCTTAACCCTCCAAATGGCTTCAGAATTTAACCTTAACTCTGATACACAGATTCCCATGTCATTATCTTCAGTGTAAGCCTTACTCCTCCTAATCTCCATCCTGCAGCAGAAGTTACTCAACTGTGGTTTTATTTCTACTTCTCAATTTTCCAGAAGATAAGCTTCCAATCACCTAAAGCACTGCATATTGCTCAACAGATTGAAGCAGGAGTATTGAAAATGTGAAATTATACTCCCAAAACCGTTCTAGATTTAAATTAAGACCCCCAATACAGCAATCTGGTATTTTCTATGACATCTTTCCTACCCCAAAATAAACCTTGTATTAAATGCTAAGTGAAATATTTTATTGCCATTTCCCCCGGGGATGCTTAGTTTTGAAGTGAACATACACGAGTGACATCATTTGCAGTAACACCATCTTTCATGTAGAACTGGTCCATAACTACTGGGTCAAGCTCACTCATCAGAATTTCCAGTGTCTGGTCAGGCTGATTGGATATCCGACTCTCTGGGAAATCCAGGGTGTACAGGTACCTGCATAAAATACAGATCATGTATGTAATAAATACTAGCAGCACCAAGGTCTACTGTAAGCCCCAAAGATTTCAAAGTCTCCACATACATACCAGCAATCAGAATTCATACGCCCCATGCAATAAGCTGCTCCATCTAGACAAGGAGAAAAAGTCTCCAGTTAATACATCACAAGTGATCCTTCATGTAAAAAAAAAAAAAAAAAAAAAAAAAAAAATCTGCTTCGTTTCATATTTAAAGATAGAAGTCTCCTGCAGAACATTAACAGGGCACTGACAGTCAGCCTCTAGCAAATTTAACTTCAGGAATGTAAAGCCAACAACTCAGGAAAACAGGCTCCCTCCAAAGGTGGCCTGGGCACCCTAGTTCAGAGTCTACTAGCAGGAAATTCAGATGACAACTTTGGCTGTGCACAGACAGAAGTCCTGGTACTCTTAAGCATCTATTTAATGAATTGATGATTAGCATTTATTTTCAAAATAACTTGGATAAGTACTACAGCATTCACATTCCTTCAGAAAACTTTTCTGTCAGTTAAAATTCAGTGTTATTCTTGTAGGCTTTAGATTGTATAAAGTGTTTAAATCCAGTCTTTTTAGTGCAGTGATTTTCTGCGAAAAAGCTTACTTTTTTCTTCAGCCTTAAATTACCATCCTACCTTTTTAATGAGGCACTTAGGATTAGTAGGAGCTGGATTCTGCAAACTGACTTACTACACTCCATTTGGAGGTCTTCAGACCTCAGTTAAGGTGCCAACTATCAAGTTTAGTATGATTTAAATTTTGATCTTGGCAAGTTAAGTGTCAGAAATGCAGAAAATAAGTATTTACAGCTTTTGATTTTTCTGCAGCCCAAGCTCATGCTGGCTGCAGAACTGCAAGGAATGAGCAATGAATGGTCTGGCAGCCTGTATTTGTTTTACCCCTTGTCACTTCTCTCATCACATCAACATTTCACACAAGCCACACAATTTTGCTTAAGTTTCATGAACTTACTTGGGAAAATTTCATTAAGAAACTCTACTTCTTCCTGGAAATTCCTATGTGGGTACTCCTGGTGGGAAGGCTTCATGAAATTCTTACGTGAATAAAAGAAGCTCTGAAGAAGGAAAAAAAAACAAAAAAAAAAAACCACGAAAGTGTATCACAGCTATTGAATACACCCAACCACCTTGAATATAAAGATCTCGAAAAATGCAAGCATTTATCATAAGCTTTCACAGGTCCTAAGCTTTCATTATCAAAATGCTGCTAGCTGTATTTCTGTTTGAGGCATTTGGTTATTCCTAGCTTAATTTCTAAGCTTCAGGAAACACTTACTTCCAGATCTGTTTTCTACAAGAAAACATCCTTGATTTCAGCACTGACAACATGAACATGGAAGACTTTCACCCTTAAGTAACCTTAACCCAGCACAATAGCACTTGTAAGTTAACATCCTTTAAGAGGAAAGAGGCTGAATCCTACAACAAAGCAAGCAAACTTTAATTTCAATTTTCCCATTATGGGAAGCCTAAATGGCAAAGTAAGTTTCAGAATATTTAATAAAATCCATGGATTTTGAATATTCATAAAAAGCTTTGTACATTCTAAGGAACATGCAGCATTTTTGGCACCTTACCTGAATTGAGTCAAACCCACTGTATTCCCTAGCAAGCTCCAACAGGGGAACCAGTGCTTGCAGTAAGAGGGTGGTACCACACGTCTTCAAAATGAAACGTCTCTTGGAGACAAACATGCTACTCTCACTGAAAGAAAAAAAAAAAAAAAGAAAGAAAAAAAATAGTGTTAAAATATATTAAGTGCTCTATATAAAAAGCCAGGAGAGACTAGTTAGATCTTGCTTCTTATCCCAACCAAATGCATTACTGTAAGTGAACATCATCTAGCATATGACACGTAAACAAGCTTGGCAAATGGATCAAACCAAGACACTTCAGTTAACATTTAAGACCTGTTCATGGTTTCCTGAAACAAATACCTGCTGTAGGTGTGATATTACACAGCAATCACACTTCAGGAAAAGAGGTACTACATGTGTTACATATCCTCAATCTATTTGAGGAATTACAAACATGCTGTGAAGCAGGTACACAATAGACATGCTATTTAATTTCTTAACCCAGACACAGAACAGAGTCAAACCTGAAATCTGACTTAGCTGAAATAAAGCCTATGAGAACATGAATTCAAAAAAGGCAAAAGCCTTAATTTCATAAACTGGCTGCACCTTCTCCTGCAAAGCGGTGAATCAGCACCTATCCACAATGAAATGAATGGTGGTAACAATAATAATGAAAGTACAGCCACAGGATATGCCTTACACATAAGATTCAGAAGCTAGCTATACATAAACTGTAAGTCAGGTACCTAACTGCAGTCCCAGTGAACTAGAGACAGGTATTGATACTACATCCAAAACATTTACACATGTGTAACAAGTATCTTCTCACCAAGTAACTGAACAATGGGAATAAGTCTATCTTAAAACAGCATTCCAAACTGAGTTATTTAAGAATTCAAGTCAAGGTTCTATTTCATCCAGCACACAGCTGTAACAAGTCACATTCTTTTCAGAATTCTGTTTCAAATATATGAAGCTTGTGGAACCAAGACTTCAGCACAGTTTCTTGAACTAGCTTGCTCTCAGCCCAACCTTGCCCTCGAGGCAGTCTTTCAAAGTACAAAAGCTTCAGTTTCTGTAATCTGAAGTAAAGCAGAAAATGTCACTGTGTCTGTGAAGTTCATGTAGAAAAAGTATGAAAGTGTTTCGTAAGATGAAAAACACATGGCAAAAGTAGTGTCCTTACAACTAACTGCTGCACAGCACAAAACCTCCAGGATTTTGGGGAACCTACATTTTCACAGATGTCCTTAGCTCAGCTGCAGAAGTTGTTCCCTTGACTGCATTATCTGGAGTTAAAGCCAATCCACTGATAAGAGTTTCTGGTGATCCAAAAGTGACACCTACATGCACTATGCTGCTGAATTAATACTAAACCTCTTAACTGGGGATACTTACTTATCTCTGGACAGAATTCAGTGACCAGGTGCAAAAATACCATAGCTGTGCCCTGAATCTTTTTAGCTTAAAAAAAGACAAAAAAAGACAAAAGAAGACAAAAACTTTGCTCTCGTGAGACCTCACTTGGAGTCTTGTGTCCAGTTCTGGTGTCCTCAACATAAAAAGGACATGGAGCTGTTGGAACAAGTCCAGAGGAAGGCCACGAGGATGATAAGAGGGCTGGAGCACCTCCCGTATGAAGACAGGCTGAGAAAGTTGGGGCTGTTCAGCCCAAAGAAGAGAAGCTGCGTGGAGACCTCATAGCAGCCTTCCAGTATCTCAAGGGGGCCTACAAGGATGCTGGGGAGGGACTCTTCATTAGGGACTCTAGTGGTAGGACAAGGGGTAATGGCTTTAAACTTATACAGGGGAACTTTAGGTCAGATGTAAGGAAGCAGTTCTTTACAGTGAGGGTGGTGATGCACTGGAATGGGTTGCCCAGGGAAGTTGTGAATGCTCCATCCCTGTTCAAGGCCAGGCTGGACAGAGCCTTGGGTGACATGGTTTAGTGCAAGGTGTCCCTCCCTGCTCATGGCAGGGGAGTTGGAACTAGATGATCTTAAGGTCCTTTCCAACCCTACCTGTTCTGTGATTCCATGATAATTATGAAGACATTTCCACTACAGAAGCATGGCAGTACTATGATTAGCAGACCCCTGCAAATTGTAGTCATAAATAGCAGGATCTTCACCCAAGACTGGATTCTCAGCCAAGTGGATCCCATACAACAGCTTTAAGTTTTTTACCTCTTGGAGACTAAAAGAATAAGCTAGTGACTTACCTGAGTACATAAGCTTCCTGCTTGTCAGTTTTTGTCACACTTATGATCAAACAATGCACATTCTCCAGAAGTTTGTCCCACTCAATCCTGTGAAGAAATTACAGAAAAACACAAACAACAGGTTAAGCAAACTGAAGCTTTCTGGAACCCTGGGTAAAAAGTATAGCCCAAAACAAGACTACAGCTCGTCTCGAGTTGCTGAATCTGACAGCACGAAAGGCAAAGACTTTTTATACAGGAACTGTACCACAATACAGTAATATCCAATTCTTAGCTCAAGATCTGTTAGTGTAAGCTCCTACCTACACATCTAACTAGGCAAGTCAGGATAACATTAAATCCTGCATCCCATATGTACTAAGATAAAATTCATTATTATAATTTAAGGTATGCTTTAGGTTGAATCTCCATGTACTTCAATCACAGAAGCCACTGGCAGCTACTAGAGTAATAAACCAGCAAGTTAACGTGTTTTATTTGTCCAGCTTGGAGTCAAGTCCATAGTTTTTTAGGGCTGGTTTGCAATTAAATTATGTCAATGACCTGAATTCCTCTTTGATCAATCAGCACCACAGAATTCCTTCTCTGTAGAAAATAAAGACTCATAGCAAATAGTCTGCAATATTACACTTACAATGAAATAAACTGAACTACCTTCATATAGTGCAAGTTGAAGCTACAGAGCTAGATTTCAGTGTAGTGGTAGAAATTATTTCAATTCTTTACTGCAGTTACTCATTCTACAAGGAATTTTATTAAAAAATAAAATAAAACAAAAGGGCTCAAATTAAGCCCAAATACTTCCAAGTACTCATGAGCAATGACAGACTGGGGAAAATAAATGTGGTTGTCACTTCAGTCTTGTATCTACACCAGATCAGTTGAATCAAATGTAGTAGAATTTGCTATAAAGCACATCAGGAACAGATACAGCTTCCAGAAGTTGCAAAATTACAAGACTGCCAGCTGCCCTACCTCTCCCATCCCTCCCTTCCCACAGCACACTCCACCCACAGGTTTGTGCTGGCCCTTGTGCTCAGACCCATCATGAACCAAGAAATTTACTAACCCAGCTTAAAATGAAGCTGCCCATCAGGGGTGGAACAAATACAGGACCCACTGCAGCTGGCAGCATAAAACTGCTATTTCTGTCACCACAAAGCAAGCTATTAGATTGGCCCGTGTAACTGACAGCCTAATTCTTCCTCAGGAGTCAGGTGTCTCCCTCTGACACTGCAAAAGCACTACAGCTGTACTTCAGGACAGAGCACTCACTGTTAATTCTACCAGCAGAGTTCCACCAGCAGCCACCAGCTTTGCCCTTGGAAAACCAGTCAGTTTACAAAGTTGAAGTTTCAGATTCTGCTGTACGTACAGGTAAAACACCCACATGTTCTTTGGTTCTCTGAACACCGCAACAAATGCCTTAATTTCTCCCTCACTTGAGAATGCCTCCTGAAACTAAATTCTGTACCTTCACTAATACTTCAGTCTTTTCCCTTTAATAGTGTATGTTACACTAAACCAGTATACTTATACAGGAGTCAACCATGATATACTTAAATGAGACTTGTGCTGTGGCCTCCTTTTACTTGAGGCTGAAGCTATTAAAAATGTGTTTAAGAGAATCCTACACATCTTAAAATCCCTCAGGATTAAGTGTACATCTGAACAAGTTTCTGAACTTAAGTTATATAACTGGATACCTAAAATCAAAGTCAGATTTTCCTTACCACCCCAGTTAGTAAACCTTGATGAAAGTCTTCTGCAACTACAGATATGACAGCCCAGACCACTTGAATCTGCAGGACTTTAAAAAAAAAAAACAAAACCCACCAACCCACAAAACACCACACCCCACAAAAAACCCACCCACCCAAACAAAAAAACCCAAACAAACAAACAAAACAAAACACACAGCTTGTTTTTAAAGCTGAGTTGAAGTCCCACACATTTATTCAGCTCTACACTTATGTCACTGACTTGGGTTTAGCTCTGTTGCTGATACTCAAATTTATATGAAAATGCAAGTGTCTGCTCATCTCTGAAAAACCTGGAAAATGCAAAGAGTGAAACAGTTCATACTATACCTATTTTTTAAATGCTCCTAGACAATCATGCTATTTTGCTGAGGACTGAAGGACCTAGGTTTCTCTGGAAGCTACAGCACACCTGCGTAAGTTCGCCTGCCTTAGAACCTTCCCTCTAACATCCTATTACACTCTTCCTATAAACTAAACTAGGTAATGCATCAGTTTGCTCAAATCATTCCAGCACCACTACTGGTGATACTTTATCTGCCATTAAAGAAGCACCAAGTGTCTGACATAGCACTTATGGAAGACGAGGCAGAGTTCCCTTTCACTGCCTGATGCTGAGCTGCAGTAACGCCACTGGTACATTACTACAAATCTGATTTTGCACTTGTATAAATATCAATGGGTATGTAACCATCTTGGGCTTTGCAAGAGCATGCATCTTGGCCTTCACAAGCTTCTTATCTAGTCAGACAGTCAAAACCTTAGCATTATGTAGACAAATGAGAATTTTCTTTAAGTACCACCGCAGCGCAGTTCCATCCAGACACATCGGGAAAATGGCTTGTTTAAGTTTGTCACGTATTAGCAGAGAAAGATGTAACAACTTTCATGTGCAAGTAGTCCACCAATGAGGGATCATTGCTGGAGTGTACAGCACACTAACAATACAATATTGCATGTTAAGTCCAAAGCCTACCACGCAAAGAAAGTCCCTAGTTACACTTGTTAGTACTACAGTTGGCATTTAGATACTACAGCTGAAATCTTCAGTTGCCCAAGACTTTGATTATTAAAACTTTACTCAATTCTTCACTATTTCACTACAGAAACCACAGCTAAGTGTATGCTACACATTCACATGTTGAACCTTTAAAGGAATAAAGGACAAGTTCATCATTTGATCTATTTAGAGTAGCATTAAGGAAAAAAGCCTGCCAAGTTGAGGAACACAAAAGACACCAGGCTTGATCCAGCAGCAGACATGTAATAGACTAACCAAGGGTTGCAGGACCCAGGATGAGACTTGGCCACATTACGGAGAAGTTTTGAAGTAATACTGTCCTATACCTTATGTAATTTAAGGTTAAGCATGAAAATTACAGAAAGGCCACTAACATGCTGGATTTGATCTCAATATAATTATTTAAGCAAGATGACCTTAGTATTTGACATTTTCCATTGTTTAAAGCAGAGCTAAGGAAGAACATCTGGGACTATCTTGTACCAAGCAGAAAGAGTTCACTAGAAGTCTAATTCCTGCATTTCTTCCTTTTCTTTAATCTGTGTAATTGTTACTAGAGACAAGCAATGTCCATCCACACTTATTGTAGATACAATACACCTTAAAAATAGTATTTCAGTGTTTATCAGTACATGCATTGCAGCTAATCCTATTTCATTTTAGCAAATGAAAAGTATCCTCAAAGTTAGTAACTGGGAAATACTTGATAACTTTCCTACTTATTTCATAACTGATTTTAACTGGCAAGCAAAGCCTCTAACTGAAGAAAGGGAACCAAAGAGACCAATTCTCAATAAAATGCTATACTGGGCTTCTGCTCTTCAAAATTCCCCTTTCAATGGCAAGTATGCAGATTGTATTACTATGTCCAAATCATTCCCCATAGCCAATATCAGGCCAATCCCAGACACTTTAGAAACTTTTCTCCTATACTCAAGCCAAGCATACTAGAATATGATGCACAAATCACCTGTAGCTAAGTAAGTTCTGTAGCAGAGCTGCATCCGCTGAAACTCCAAACCGAAAATGCATTTGTGACAAACTCCTCACTGTTAGGTAGGCTTATTTCCTACTTCATTCCAAAACTGTAAACTTCAAGTAACTGCCACCTACTGAAAGCCCGAACAGTTTCTCCAGCAGACAAAGTGTGCATCTTTGGCTGCACATGCTCAGAGAATACCAAGTGAAAAATGGAATACATCTGCTCAAGTGTGAAAAGCTGTCCATACTTGAATGGTAAAAAGCTACTTCTTCTATACTTAACCAGCAGAACACGCAAGAGAAAAAACATGAGGCTCAGCAATCTACTCTACACCTATGTTGCAATGTTTAGTGCCACACTGGCACAGACTTGTTACCAGAGTGCAAATACCTTTCATGCAAACTGCTAGCCAAGTATGTCAGTACAAGAAACCCATCAGAACAGAGAAGTATTTTAATTTATTTTCAGGAACTATGCTTAAAGCTTTTAATGAAATTAATAGTCAGCAAACCCTCTCAACCAAGTTCAAAACCATCATGTTTGCTCCTTTATTTTGTATTTCTGAGAAATAAAGGATGAATAAGCCATGAATCACGTTCCCCTTGCCAAATAAATGATACTTCTGAGTGAAAGTTACTGGCCTATTCTGAGCCTTTACCTTCAAGGGTAGAACAGGTTCTTAACACAGGAATCTAGTATATCAGGCAGTAACACAATACTGCTGTTTCAGGCCAACTGGGAAGGCAACAACAGCAATTTAACAAGAACTACATCAATAACTTTTTCCTAACAGCAATTAACAGCTTCCACAAGCGTATCATCCCACCACCCTAGTAACAGTACCTTGCTAAGGCAGCATGAATAGCAATGGGAAGGAAAGTTGTTTTGCAGTAGGGCAGGAATTCTTCGGAAATAAATCCTGAGAAACTCTTACAACAGCTCAAGCTGCACACATACTCTAGCACAGCTTTTCATCAAAGCAGCTGAGAGGTCTATAGTAATCAAAGCAATAAGCATTTTCATCTTGTACATTAGTGTAAGACCTTGGTTTAAAAGCAAGCATTCAGCTGCAAAGTACAGCAACTTTTCACTCCCTCACCTGTTACCTACTTTTAGGAGCCAGCTATATCATTTACCTCATTAGCAGACTACAGTTCAGTAGGCAAATTCCTACCAATACCATGATCCAGAGCAGTCAAACTCAATGCCTTGCCTAAACTACCAATGCAGAGAAGATGCAGCCAAGGCACATGGAAGCTGGTTAAGTATCAGTGTCAGCAGCTGCAACGTTAGTTCCAAGGATCCTGAAACAGGTAGATACAGTA